GAATTTTTGTCTTCAAGGAATATGTGTAAACCGCGACCTGAAACTAGGGATTGTCCATTAAGGAGCCATATATGAGTTTGTACCGCCCTCAAAGTTGGACGTGTCCGCGTAATTTATCGAAGTAAGCTTTATTGAAGTAAATGAGAGCGACTTTTACCAAAATTTGTTTGTTTGTAGACCACTGGCTTTAACACGAAGCAAATATTTTAATCTTTGTCGACTTCCGGTCGCACGCAATGCTTGTTTTAAATAAATCTCTCTCATCGAAAAAAAAAACAAAAAACAAACAAACTGCTTCAAAACCGCGGTTCTCTTCGAGAAGTCGACAAAAGATTTTTCAAGGTCTGAGTTTTCGACGTCTGTCTTCGTGGTCTGTGTTTTCGAGGTCTGCGGTCTGTGGTCTGTGTTTTCGAGACACCCTGTTAGATGATGATTGTTTGCTTTTTCAATGAAACGCTCTATTGTTGCTTTGTTTGTACTCCATAGCGAGATGTCGTGTATGTAACGTTTCCAAACGAGCGGTTTGAAAAGGCTTTTGTCAAGGATTTCAGTGTACAGCACAAATATAAGTATTGCAGTTATACTATCAACTGAGAAATTCTTTCTAGAACGTGCATTTACACGACGTTGACAAAGTTCCACGTCATGCTTCGGCTTTCCGACTGTTTTTAAGCATTTCTTTGAGCGAATCTGGCAATCTCTCTGGATATCTTGAGTCATTTTTACATGTACCCCAACAGCAATGTTTAGTTGCAACCATTTTAGAAAGTTAGAGCATTTTTTGACCGAAAATAGTCTTGCTTCTGACACGTTTCGCATACAACTCCTTGTAAAGACTCCGAGTGTTTGTCCTAAACCAGCGGAGAGTCCAAAGATGACATATCTATTTTTAGACCTGGCGCGCAGCGCCATTATTTAATTGGAACCAGCTCGCGGCGCGGATAAAAAAACACCGAAATTAGGTCATTTAGGCGAACATGTCGACAGTCACGCGCAAGAACTAATGACTACCACTACTCACTGGAACAACAGATTACTCTAAACAAGTGAAAGCGAAAATATCCGCACATATTCCATTATTCCTACAACAGGTCACTAAAGTTAATTTGAGCCGTGGCCGGCAAGAAGAAGTCTTGATCGGTTTCATTAAAGCGGTACTCGCTAAAGACGTGTCGAGGTAATTAAAAATTTAGGAAAAATTGCCTTAAAAGTAACCAAAAAACCGGTAGAAGACTACGCTCACTTTCTTGCGTTTAATCCAGGATTCCCAAATTTGTGAGTGTTGAGTAAAAACATAGTTAAAACGTACACATCTGCTTTGCGATTTTTAAAATCAATGTTGTTTAGGAATGACAGAATAGATGCCCAGTTGTAAATGCTTTACTATACAAAGAAACAACACACCAGTTTTCGAGAGAGCTTTAATTTCCTGTGCGTATGTTCGGGCAAGATCAACAGGTTAAAAAATGACTCACGAGGGCTTGAGCAAAGTCAAATAAATTAGAATCATTCCGTTTAGGATAGTACTATACGGCGTCTGTATGGGTATACCCGAGAGGCCTGTGCATCAAATAATATGTTCTTATTGATTAGGTTGGAGTGCTGAACGGGAAAATAGTTGGCTCGAGGTCTTTGCCTACGAACCGAGCGCGGCAAGTGTTTCAATTTATTTCAGAGGCACATGCCTTGACAACCAGGGATGGGATTAAATTATCTGCGTATAAACAAATCTACAACTAAAAATGGAAGCAAAAGTATTTAGAAACTGCTCTTCTGTAAAAGAGCTCAGCAAGGCCGACATAATCATTTTTCAGGTTTGCAACCGGAAGATTTAGGAAAGCAGAAGAAACACGCGGATGCTGAACAATTGGTTTCTATTACGCACCGCTTTAAAACAGAAAAATCTTGAGGTTTGTTTTGATGAATTTAACCTGAAGTACTTTGTGGCGTGGGAAAACGTTTCAATAATTTGCGACAAGGCTGTTTATATCTCCGATGTGAATAATTGAGTCAATTCCGTGTCACCTTGAAAGACAATCAGTTATTCGCTAACTATCCAACTACTCAAAAGATCAACAGTTAGGTTTCGTGACAATTTTCACCTTCCGTGTGTATTTTCACCGCACTCAAAATCATTAGGTTAAGAAGGACTCAAAGGGGTTGATTAAAAAGCAAATTAATGAAGAGTTTTTGGTTTACGCCGGAAGGTAAAGCGAAAGGAAAAGAAATCATAATTGATTAGTGATCAGAGGAAATATTTGTTCGGTTGGAAAAAAACTTACTACGAATTTAGTTTAGCATGGTGAGCAAGCTCTTAAGAGGCAGCAGTAAACAAAGAGGAAAAAAAGGTGGAAAAGTTTAGCGCAGATTTGAAATGACAAGCTTGAAGATTCAAAATACTTTTTCATAGTTTTTGAGTCATCACCTTTTTAGTAACAGAAAGTTTCCCCCCGCAAGTGAAGTTTTAAAACGTCCAACACATTTATCATAAGGATTAGAGATGTCAGCTTATTGTCTATAGCGGTTCAAACGGACTGTGCAAATAACTACCATGTCAACACATAAGCTACATACTTCGATTAACGTAGTAGTAACTAATTTTAAAAATCTAAACCAGAGTAGGATTTTATGGCTGATATTTTTATCGATACTCTACACGCTGACATGGAAAAAAATAATTACACTAAGAACTTTACAGTTGACTTATTTTTTTAAGTAATCTTCGTGCCAACATAGTGGGCGTTTAACTTTATATTACAATGGCTATTATACAGCAAAGGAAGGGATACGCTTTTATCTACTGTGTCAAACATTTTATATTCTCCCAGTGGAGGAAGTAAAAACTGTTGTGCCTTGTTCTTTGACCTGTTGATAGGCAGTGCTCGTCGAGAAAGACCCCACACTCCATTGTACACTGAACCACTCCCTTTCTATATTGATTGCATTTATTTTTAGTCTTTTTCTTTTCACTCTGATTCTTGTGCATCAGTTTTTCCTCAGGCTTACGCAAACCAGTGTGGTCAATTGTCGATGCCTTACTTAATTGTCAGTAATTGGACCCCACTGGCCTCGGAAATCGTTTCACACTTTTGATGGGTATGCGTGCTGGTTGACGTTCAATAGAATGGTACTTTGAAAAGTCATGTTTTGTTATCTTTCAGCCGAATTCGAGGCAATATATGATTTAAAACTTCTAAGTTTTGAACAGTCCATTGAGAAAAATAAATTGCCTTATCAGTGTCGCCACCGAAAAAAGTCCAGTATTTTTGTCTTTGATTCTCAGCGGTAGCTTACAACCTCGTCTTGGTCTAAGCTCGTGATCTCAGTATATAGTATATAGTGTATATAGTCTCCAAAACTTAACTAAACCGTACCTAACTTTACCTATTTGCAAACGTGGATTTGAAGCGTTGGGTATAAACCTTAGGGCGAAAGCACCCTTTCCTACGTAGGTTGTATGCGATATTTTTCTCTTCAGGAATGATGTGTTTAAGTGTATGCGAGCCCGGTGAGATCACCTTTTCAAAAATATTTCTGTCCTGTGTCTCTATAAAAGGCTTGAAATAATGAAGTGGCAGGAACTATATCGCCGCTTGTAACTTTTATCTAAGAAGCGTTGGATTTGTTTATGGTCTGATTCAGAGGCTCCATACACAAGAAGGCCTTATGTCAAAATTGATAAAGAAAAAATAGATCTAAAGAAATGGTCTATTTCTCGCTGACTATAGCATTCTTTCCTGAGAGTTCGCAGAAAGTGTAGGCATTTGCTTGCTTTCATTGGTTTCAGCTTTTCGTGAGTGTTAAACTGAATTTACAGTCTCTCTTAAGCGCGAGACCAAGCAAAACAAGGTTGTTACCGGCGAGTGATGTTGTATACGGGTTAAAAGCCTTGATTGACGTTTGTTTTATTAACATTAAGTTCTTTATATTTGCTTGGGTTGCACTTCATATTGTGATTTTTTTTGTGACCATGTCAATTACTGATCCACTAATAAAGTAGAAGCGTCCAACTCCTGCCACACGGGGGCAACTATTGTAGAATCATCTGCGCATTTAAAAAGGGCAGGGGTGTCGTTATACTCAACTTCAAGGTCACTCAAGATTATGTTATAAAGATATGGATCGCTTAAGCTGCCCTGGTGGTACTCCTATCAGCTAAAGAAAAGCTAATTTCTCTTAAAATACTCGTTCGTTGGGAAGCGTAGATCACTTGAATCGCATACGAGTACACAATAGGTTTGGTGCACAAGATGGCATTCAATGGACAGTTATCTTTCTGCGTTCATTGAAATTTGCATTACAATCACATTACAGATCTGAAAAGCAGAATAATGATAAACGTACATAGAATAGAAACGAGAACGCAATCAGGGAAATTACACCGAAATTCCTCGTACGTATCGAGGAGGACAGCATTGTTACTCAACTCAAAAGGATCACGTATCACAGAAAGATAGTTTATTGCAAAAAAAAAAAAAAAAACCGAATAATATTGACTTACGCGGCCCTGAGTGGTACTCTTATTAGCGGAAAAAAAAAAAGTTAAAAGCTCATAAAATATCTGTTCTTTGTGAAGTGTGGATTACTTGAATCGCACATCTGCACGCAAAAAATAGGTTTGGTGCACAGAATGGCATACGATCGACAATTATCTTTCTGCCTCCATTGAAATTTGCATTACATTCACATCACAGATCTGAAA